CCCTAACACCTAACCTTAGCTCTAACCGCTTACCATAACAAAAAAAAAAAAAAGAAAGACAAAATGAATAATAAAAAAATAACAGCTGATGAAAAGGCTGAAAAACCTAGCAACAAATGATGAAACATATGATGTTATTCTGTATTGTCTATTAAATAAACAACAAAGCTCAAAAACACTTTAAAAATGCGCAAAAATGCACAACAAAACACACAAAAAAAAACACACAAAAATGTGATGATCAGGTGTGAATGGATCTTATAAGCTTTATTCAATAATCACATTTTAGTTACAAAAGCAACGTTTCAGAGCCTTGCAGAACCCCTCCTTCAGGTATTATGAAGGTCACATGATGAAGGAGTCCTGCAAGACTCCAAAATGTTGGTTTTGTAACTAATATATGATCACTGAATAAAGCTTTGTGTTCTGGAGATCCTTGGTGTGCTGGTGACACAGTTCTCGCTTGAAATGTCTTTGGTTTCCAGCGGCTGGTCAAGCAGCACTGGAACGTGTGCATTGGGAATATTGTGCTAGGCATCATGGGAGAGTGACACAAACATCTGGCTTTGTAATGGCCAGAGGTCAAAACTGGGAATTCTAGTAGAAATATTTTTTCACTGAACATGCAAACACCTTCTGTTGTAAGAAGGCTTTACTGGGCTAAGCACTGATTCAGTTGGAGGGCTTTTTGATTACTTTAATCCCTGGTTACTATAACCTGTATAGTTATAATGTCTTTATGGTTTCCAAGCTCTACTCTGTAGACACCATGGCTTCGATAAACTGCACTAACGATGGCCAAATAGCCTGAAACAGCTGTATGCAGTTTTGAATAACTGGCTCTATAATATTAGTATGCATTTTAGGGCAGGTCTGCTGGAAGATTAGACATGGTTTCGATATGGCTATATTACAGTGGGCCAATCAAAACAGATCAGCTTTTATCCAGGAAATAGTGCATTTTTCATAGATTGATGTAAAAAACATAAATGACATACGTTTTTATTTATGTACTGCTTCCATTGTTTTTTTTTAAGTTATACCATATAGGAATGAATTCATTTAGGTCAAGAACAACAAATGAACAGTTGGGATTAGCCTTTCACAGCTAGAGCATGCTCTATAAAAAAGACCCTGCCCCAATCCACTCATCCACTCAAAACAGAGAAATCCTGGATAGACTTTTTTTTATCAAGCGCATGTGGACTTGCTTTTTTAATGAAACCTGGAACTAGTAAGTAGATCAGGTGTTCTGACTTCACTTACTGCATGCTTGCTTATGGTCAGTGACTCGAAAAGTATTCAGAGACCTTGCTTTAGGAGGAGGGTCAACATAGTCTACATAGAGTATACCTTTCAGTAGATGTTTCCTTTAAATCTTTAGCTCTGTTACTAATTCTTTAGCAACCAGATGGTCCATTCCATTGTCTTTGTCTTTTTTGTTTCTTGTATTATAATAAAAAAAATCTTCTTTTATAATCAGAACAAATATAGAAAGGTCACATTCTCTACAAGGACAGTGCTAGTACATGTTTATGACTGAATACCATAATGATTTTTATTCTCTGTTCTTTGTGTCATACAATGTTTAAAGAATTCTGATGATGAAAAAACAGCTTCAGGGTATTTCTCTCTCTTCATCACAATAAATTCTCTGGCTGAGGCCTCATTTTCTCTATGACAATGGCAGTGGGAAACTGGGAATGGAAGCAGCCTTCACTGACATATACATAATAATGAAGTGCATGGAGTTTCTCGTTCCCATGCAACTTCAATCTCTTTGGTTCCTGTGTTTCATTTGTTGTCTCTTAGTGAAGAATCTGACACTGGTAACCCTTGCTGTCTAAGTTCACTTTCTCACTGTGTTGTCAGTTTCAGCGACTGCTTGGAATAACATTTCCTCTATATTCAAGGTGGATGTGGAATGTCATTTAACCTCTGAATGTTTACTAGTATGTGAACATAAGAACATAAGAACATAAGAAATTCTGCAAGTCTTGATAGACTGTGTGTGTGATCTTTTATGCCAGGTCTCTGAGGTCCATCCCCCAGAGGGGTGTGGCTGAGTACATATAAGCCTGGGATCTGCACATGCTCTTTGCACTTGTGTCTTGTGTCTTTGTGTCTTTGTCTTGCTACAGCTCTGTGTATACGCTCGTGACTCTTCTGGTATTCTGACTCGGCTTGTGACTAAGACCATTTTCTGTGTTTCCTTTGATCTAACCCGGCCGAACTGTGGAAATTCTGCAAGTCTTGTGTCTAGACTGGTTGCGTGTGAGGGGTGTAACTTTTGATTGTATGTGGCCAGGGTATAGTAATAGCCAGTTGTATCAGAGGAATAATGAATAATGAGTGCAAAATGGGATTTATTAATAAATAGTAAAATACAAAGAAAAATTTACATTTCTTTGTGAGTATTTTACTATTTATTAATAAATCCCATTTTTATGGTAATGCACTAGACCTGTGCGCAGGGGCAGGACTGACCATTTGGATACTCGCCTACACTGCTTCGAGGGCCAGGGATCAGTAGGGGCCCCATGAGCCCCTGGTACCTTTTTCATAGGTATTTTACTATTTTTTTGAGTTTGGGCAAGGACACAGGGGGCCCCATGATCCCTATTGCCCGAGGGGGCCCCCCCATGAGTTGTCAGTCCGCCCCTGCCTGTGCGCCCTCTCTTTGTTTTTTATATACAGTTCTCTTTGGATTTCCTTGGTCCGTTGAGGGCAGCAAGACCTACATTTTTCTCACTCATGTGGGGATACTAATATTGTGGAGTCCACAGTTCAGCGCAGGAGCACATGCATTCGGTTGCTACATTCTTCTTTCCAGAATGATGAGATAAGCCTACTCATAGTTATCATGTTCCATCATTTTGTCATTACTGACGCTCAATAACAAAAATCATAAATAGCTGGGTGGGGGAGGCTTTGTCCTTGTAGGTCCATATTTATAGTGACCCCATCAACTACTTTTACTCATCTTCCATTCATTCCACAGCCCTGTATTTGGCTTCTGGGAGTAAAGAAGACAGTTAGCCCTGAGTTGGCTTCAAGTCATGAGCTTACAAAGGACTGAAGACTTTTTCCATTTCCAAAGGAACATGTAGGGTGCTTGAGCAGCCAGTCATTATGTAGCATCAGCATTGACATGTGGGACAAAGAGGAGTGAGTTAGATACTCACTGGTCACACATCTATGGTTGCCCACCTACGAAATTCTGACTCCTACATGCATAAGTTCAATGACTCTGTTGAAGACCAGATACTTCTGGTCCCTGCACATTGGAGAGAGCCATTCACTATTCACTGGCATTGTAGTTTAATCCTGTTTGTTTTCTACGATTCAGTACCAGTACTGTAATCACTGTGTTTGTCAGATCCTGTACCTGCTCTCGTAGTTTCTGGACTTCGCTCAGACTCCTGCTCAATCCTGGGTGTCCTTGCTGCCTCCAGTTTTCCTATTCTGATTGACCATCACTGTACCCCACTTGCTGCTGCTGTCCCATACCCCTCCACCATCACTGAACCCTGCTTGTAACTGTTGTCCCATCCTTCTCTACCATAATTTATGCTTCTACCTACTAATGCTCCATCCCATTCCACCATCACTGAACCCTGCTGCCTCTGGCTGCCCAAACCCACTTCATCACGCTACCACCTGCAATCTCATCCTACTCTTTGGCATCATTGATCATCAATGCCTTCTGTTGTCCTATCCCAATCCATCATCCCTGAACCCCACTGTATATGTCTGTCCCATCTTGCTCCACCTTTACTGATTCTGTGGGATGAATGAGAGAAAATAAATGGATTCTCTCATCCACAGTGTGGATGGAAGAATTTCAACTGCTGCCTATTGTATTCAGCAACCGTGGCACCTGTGAACAGTGAGTGCATCTCATCTATTCAGCAGAAACTTATTTGGCTTAGTCAATTTTTAAATTACTTTTTGTCAAGCCAGGTGGTGCTTGCAAAGCTACCCACTGCTTGAATTTTGACCGATTCAGCAGGAAACTGCTAAAATTCAAGCCATCTATGGCCAGCCTAAGGCTAGAACCCTCATAAGCTTTTATTGCAGTCTGTGTCCCTGTTGAAGATTTTGTTGCTTTTCTTGTCCTGAAGATAACATTGTCACCAAGAGAGGAAGTCAGTGGAAATCCCCAACAAGGCTGCCGAGAGCAGATATTCTTATTCTTCCCTACTTTATACAAAATTTAAAAAAAATGTTTTGGCAGAAGTTATACTTCAACATTTGTACTAGTGTTGTATAGATAATGGAAGGCTATTATATTTATGTTAGTAATTGTTGTGTTATTTGCACACTTGACCACAGCCTTGCACTCAGAGAAAGTTACCCTATCCTAAGGTTACCTCTCTTTGAATGCATATGAGGAAAGTGATTTTCATAAGTCTTAATGACATTCTCTTTTGTTTTCTCCTCTGCAGACCTAGACGTCTGGCTAACTTTTTAGCAGTCGCAAGCAGCTAATGCAGACTTGTCTACACTAAGGAGGCTAATGTGACATTGCAGACGCTTAATCCTGCTCTGTCACGTCACGTGACCTACAAAGTAAGCCATTTCCCTGGAGCCCCAAGCAGTCAGCCACTGCAGATCTGAGAATCTTGAGGAAGACTGACGCTGAAGTGGATACCAATATTGGAAAGTGTGAAGAAGAACACAGATCACTGCTAGAGAATGAAACTGAATAAGGACACAGAAACTTCTGTACTGGTACAGGAAACTAAAGAGGCTGCAGTAGCTCCCACATAAGATCTGAGTACTTGGAAGCTGTGGGAAGTCAGTGGCTGCATTTTAAAGGGCTCACTTACTTCATTTTAAACCAAATAACAATTTCAGTGCAGTGTCTCTTTTGTGGACAATCCTGGATGCCACAGAAGTCCAGTCTTGGCATTATTTCAGATACCATGCAGATGTGAACTGCGACCATTAAGTTTTAAACTTTGACCTAGTAGGACACTTTTACTAAAGACGTCCAAATGTTGACCATGACAGCAATGTACGTGAATGGAGGAGGGAACCAGAGGTATGCCAGGTGGAACCGACAGGACAGCCTGGAAGACTATACCCGCTCAGAAGGCTATGAGCAGGATGGAGAGGGGAAGCAGCGCAAGTTGACACCCTTTGAGAAATTGACACATGATATGTCACATGATGAGAAGACAGTCAAAGAGCTCACTCTTGGCAAAAGAATTGGCTTTTATCGACTGCGGGGAGAGATAGGAAGTGGGAATTTCTCACAAGTTAAACTTGGGATTCACGTGCTTACCAAAGGTAATTTTTTGAACTGATATTAACCTTCAATAAAAATGTTGGCATCTACCTATCTAAGGCCGGCCATACATGTTGCAATCTGATTATCCAAACTCCTTTAGATCTCTATATATTGCAATAGTCTGCCCAACTGGATGCAAACTAAAATGATTGTTTAGGTGGATCCTCACATTTTGAAGATTGTACAAAGATTGGGCAATGAACGTGTTACATGTATATTTATCTTAAAGCGGTAGTAAACCGCATCCATTGAAAAAAAAAAAAAAAATTCCCTACAAGGTAAAGACATAAAGTGCTGGTATGCATCTCATACTAGCACATTATGCAAAACTTACCTTAAAACAAAGCCCTCCAGCAGCGCGCGCTGTCACCTCTGTAGAGGCTTTCATCTTCACCCGGTCTTCCTGTTGGGTTCGTGAGCTCGGCCATCTGTCTAGCTGGGCCACAATGATGTTACTCGGGACATGGCACAGTGCTCTGAAGGAACAGCACAGGTATACCATTCCTTCAGAGCGTATGCGCCAGCTGCAAAAAAAACTTGAATGTCTCCTAAGAGGTGCAGGTTTACGAGATATTCATTTTACCTACAGTTAAGCTTTATTATAACATTACCTGTAGGTACAAATATACAAAGTGGGTTTACTTCCACTTTTGGGATGTTGTTACCTGGGCATGAAGATGCATTATTTTTTTGCCTGCTAAATTACACTTTCAGCACACCTCTGTTCATCTCTGTGATGAATGGGGTGAGTTCAGGATATTATTATTATTATTATTATATAGGATTTATATAGCGCCAACAGTTTGCTCAGCGCTTTACAATATAACGGGAGACAATACAGCAACAATACAGTTCAATACAAGAGGGTTAGGAGGGCCCTGCTCCTGGGAGCTTACAATCTAAGAGTGAGGGTATGCTGGATATCAGCATAACGCCACACACAGGGGCGGACTGACCATTTGGAAACTCGGGCACTGCCCGAGGGCCCGGGGTCAGTAGGGGGCCCCATGAGATGCCCCTGGTACCTTTTTCATAGGCTTTTTTGAGCTTGGGCAAAGACACAGGGGCCCCATGATCCCTTATTGCCCAGGGGGGCCCATGAGTTGTCAGTCCGCCCCTGGCCACACCAAACATCAACACAACCGGGTTTAGGTCCATTGATGCAAGGGCTTAGGCTGGGCTGATGAGCCCTAATAAAAATCTTTGTGAATCACTGAAATGAATATAGGGGTGCTCACACAAGCTGACAGCTGTCAAAAGCCGCAATTCAGCAACACTTTTTTTATATCATTATTATCATCAGATAGCAGGCTATTCCTTCACTTCCTGTCTGGTAAAATGTTATCCCTAGAAAAGGAAGCAAGGGAAACCTCTCTCTCACAAAGCCCCATATATCATTCAAACCTGACAAGGATTCTAACCCTTCCCTACTCTATCCAAAACTAAAAAAGACATCTTAGTCATGAACGCTCTTTGAAAATCCTGTTGATGTGTGTAGTTGTATATGTATGAGGGAGAAGCCATATTTCCTCATCACCTATGCAGACTCTGTTTCATGATGGTGTTCTGCTGATATTCTTTATATCATTGCAGGTATTCCTAGCAGAATCTGCCTGATTAGCCACTTACCCTCCAGAGGATTTACCCCCCTTTTCCTGACCAGGCCATGTTTTGCGTTACGGCGCTGCGTTACTTTAACTGACAATTGCGCGGTCATGTAATGCTGCACCCATATAAAATGTGTGTCCTTTTTTTCCCACAAATAGAGCTTTCTTTTGGTGGTATTTGATCGCCTCTTCTTTTTTTGCGCTATAAACAAAAAAAGACCGACAATTTTGAAAAAACAAAATTATATTTTTGCGTTTTTGCTATTAAACATTCCCAGTAAAAAAATTTAAAAAATCAAATTTCGTCATGAATTTAGACCAAAATGTATTCTGCGACATGTCTGCTAAAAATCCCAATATGTGTAAATTAATTGGTTTATGTGAAAGTTATAGCGTTTACAAATGGTGGTATATATACTGGAATTTGTTTTATTTTTTTACTAGTAATGGCGGCAATCAGTGAGATTATATTATAGCGGGACTGCGGCGGGTATTCTGACACTGGGGGGAACTGACTTGGTGTCACTGACATCCCCAGTCACACCAATACAGTGATCAGTGCTAATAAAAAAGTACTAATGGCATTGGGCAGGAAGGGGTTGACATCTGGGGCGATCAAAGGGTTAACTGTGTGCTGTTTTACTGTGTGCTGTGTCTGTGTTTTCCACTGTAAGCACACTGCTTTGTATGGCTCTGCTATGCAGAGTCATACAAAGCAGTGTTCATGAGCTGACAGGGGAGAGACCTGTGTTGTTTATATTGTTTATACACAGGTCTCTCCCCCATCGGTGATACTCAAGACCGTGGAACTGCAAAATCATTTATATATACCCATTATTTCTGCTATAGGGTGGCGTGGAGGCAGTTAAAACCATAGACTTTCTGCAGCCTCTAATGAAGTGAAATGTCCACAAAGCATTAGGAGTCAATAGGCACTCAGCTTATCTTCCCCTCAGATACTAGCATAATCAGTTACAGAATCAAAGTCACATAGTAATCCCTAACATATTGAAAATCCTGAATGTTCAGTTTAAAGCGTATATAAACTTTTGCAGGCAATGTGGGATAACACCTGTTTTATTTATTTTTTTTACATGTTTCTATTAACATAGCCTAACTTTCCCCTTCTACCTAATGTTAAAGAGGGGCCTGTGGGAAGTTATGTTTATGATTATTAACCTTAGCTGTACTGTGCTGGTAGATTTCATTATCAGTTGCAATCTAGGTCTAAATACTGTCCCCACAAAGGGGTTATGGATTGCAAAGGTTAGTTTCTGCATTGTATGTTAGTGCATTTTGTTGCCAGGCCCCGTTCTCCACTGTTCATAATTTTTCCATTGTTTTTTAATTTTTCACTTACTGTTTTCATTTTTTTTTTTTTTTTTTATACATTTTTTGAAAGCATAGGACCAGTAAAATTAAAAACAAGGTGCTATTGATTTTTTGGGCCCCATGATATGTGCACAAATGTTTATCAAAACAATATTTTTGGTAAAAATACACCAAATTCATTATAGGTATACACAAAAACTGCAAAACTTAGAAAATCATGCCTAAATTCCATCTAAATAACAAAGCTAAAACTGTATTGAGTTAAAAAAAAAAAACACATTTTTGTAAATTTTGAATTGTGCACACAGGGAAATTGGAAGATATGCAAAAGTATAAATAAGCAATTTATTTAAAAAATCAGGAGGTTATCTTTTTTCACTTACAGTTTACACAATTTGTAAAAGCAACCCCATCCCCAAACCACAGATATTCTGAAAGCACATGACCAATAGAATAAACTAATTGCTGCTGTTTTTCTTCAGCCCTGCAATAGTTGTGGAAATGATTAGCAAATCACTGTTTTCTTAAAAAAAAAAAAAAAAACTAAAATCATTTTACAACAAAACACAGTGTACTATGCTTCAGTGATTAATGAACACAGGACACAGAAGTGATTGGTACATACACCTGAATTCTATCTAGTTTACTTAGACTGAAAGTGAAGTTGGGCTCCAAAGTCTTGGCATAGCATGATGACGTTTCCAATGTTCATGAAACATACCATGGACTCGTGTATTCTGTATTGGAACAGGCAATAACCCGGCAACCAGTGAAGAATAGGACATTTATTATGCTAGCTATTTTTGGAGCGAATCGCATTTGAATGTTCTAAAAGCTCTTGTGTTCTACAGCAGAACAGGCTTGATAGCCCAGCAAAGCAGTGAAGACATGCTGTTTTTAATTTTCCTAATTTCTTGGGAAGCCACCATCCAGTAATGAGCACTACAGCAAGAAGCCAGTAAAAGTGCAGTACTCTAATAAGGGCTGCATTTACCATAATGGAACTTGTAGGCACCAATCTGTGTTCTTTACAAATTGTGATTTTTTTTTGTTTCTGCCTTCTGGAAGCCTATGGACATTTATGTCTACATTCAACAATAGAACTGTAGGTGGAAGTCTGTGCAAGAGATGAAGATTCTATAGCTTGTAAAGCGTATCTAAATCCAAAACCAAAAATGTAACATATTGCAGCTTAGCACTCCCTAGATAGCACTTGCAATGGCTTACCAGTCCTTGGATGTTCTAAAATTCAGTATTTTCTGTGTTAGAGGATTAGTCTCTCTCCTCATATCCAGTCTCCTCTCATCTGGTGGCCAATGTCCCATTGCAGCTATGGCAATTTAAGATCCTCTTCTCGCCTCGCCATACTGTACTATTGCAGCAGAGAAGATGGACACAGGCTTACAGGCTCTAAATTAAAGTGGTTGTAAATGTAAAAATGTTTTTTAAAAAATAACAAACAGGTTCATACTTTCCTGCTCTTGATTGTCCCTGAACCTCCTCTCCTCCGCTGCTTTCTATGAGGGCACTCTCAAGCCCTGCTGCGTGCGTCTGTAGACACAGACAGCGAGACTCGGCCTGGCCCTCCACTCCCTTGTCACTGGCTTTGATTCAGAATGGCTCCCGCTGCCTGAGAGAAGCCTGCGAATCCCAGAAGTGAGGGGAGAGAAGAGCTGCAGACGTGCACAGCGCTTGATCGAACGAGGGCTCAGGTAAGTATAAGGAGGGGGTAAGGGGGGACACTACTGCCTAAACACTTTTTACCTTAATGGAAGAAATGCATTAAGGTAAAAAAATGTTTAGGCTTTATAACCACTGTAAAGGGGCCACCAGCCAGGACTATAGCTGACAAAAGAACACTAGTGCAACCACCATCTATGGACTGGTAAGCTGCATATTTAATTTTTGTCCTTGGATTTAGATATCCTTTAATAGACCATGAAACATTAAATCATCTTTCCTTTCTCATGTCTAGTCGCCTGAACAGTTGAAAAGTATCCCTGCATATAAAGCAGAGTTTAAGCTGCCCCTCAATAGTGCAGGGGCATGTTTGGGCCGGTTGTCCCATTGTTTAGAAATTTTAGAAAGACTACAAAGCACAGTTGTTCTGTCTCATGTACATATCTAAAAATAAAAGTTTAAAACATTTCTGTGTAGTGATAGCCTCAATTGTGTGTATGTGACAGGTCCACTTTACAAGCATTCTATGCTAAACACAGTGTCTGGGTTTTTTTTTTTACTGCAGAAAGAGTTGCAATAAAAATTTTGGACAAGACCAAGTTGGACCAGAAGACCCAACGTTTGTTATCAAGAGAGATCTCGAGTATGGAGAAGTTGCACCACCCCAATATCATCAGACTTTATGAGGTGGTAGAGACCCTGTCTAAGCTGCACCTGGTAATGGAGTATGCCGCGGGAGGGGAACTCTTTGCCAAAATTAACACCGAAGGGAAGTTATCAGAGTCAGAAAGCAAAGTGATCTTCTCACAGATAGTATCTGCTGTGAAACACATGGTAAGGTCCTTAGCTACATGCAGTAGTGTATTTCTTAAACAATAGCAAAGTGCAAACCATTTATTTTATATTTACAACACAAAAATAATTTGGAAAGCTTGATATTGTCATAAAGGTCAGCCATTTCATGGTACTGCTTTTTTGCATATGTATGAGTATGTTATTTTAATATATATTTTTATTGAGGAACCTGGGCGAAGCACCACCTAACCCAATTGGATATTAAGGATATAAGGACTTACCTTGGAATTCTGTGACCCATATATCTGTATTTTACCCACAGCCTCATACAATTATATGGTCACTAAACCTCTTGGTGTAAGTCAATATATTTATAATTTACAGCAGGTATACATTTTTCTATATCTTATGATTAACTGCTATCCCTTTTATTTTTACCCAGCATGACAATAACATCATACACAGAGACCTGAAAGCAGAAAATGTCTTCTACACCAGCAACACGTGTGTAAAGGTTGGAGACTTCGGCTTTAGCACCATCAGTAAAAAAGAAGAAACACTGAACACCTTTTGTGGTTCTCCACCTTATGCTGCACCAGAGCTTTTCCGGGATGAGCATTACATTGGTGCTTTTGTTGATATCTGGGCATTGGGCATACTTTTGTACTTTATGGTGACAGGTAGCATGCCTTTCCGAGCAGATACTGTGGCCAAATTAAAGAAGTGCATTCTAGATGGAACATACTCAATTCCTCCGTATGTGTCTGAATCTTGCCAGCGACTGATTAAGGGGATGCTAAAACCTGTACCTTCCGAGAGGTGCACTGTGGACTACATCATGAACAGCGAATGGATGCATGGAATACAATATCCAAAGCCTCTGGAACCCTTCGGACTAGACCCAAAACACCTCTTAGACACAGATACCCTCAAGGATGATGAAACAGAAGTAAAGAACACTTTGGAGAGTTTGGGTATAACAGAGGAACACATCCTTAACAATCGGGGCAAAGATTCCCGAAGTTCTATCACTGGAGTGTATAGGATTGTCCTCCACAGAGTGCAGAAGAAGAGAGCAATGGAAAGCGTTCCCCTCATTACCAGTCTAGAGCCAAAGGAGAAGAACACAAGAAGGCCTCACAGAACCCGACGAGAAATAAGGCATACCTCTAAATTTTGTTCAATTTTATAAAATGTGTAGGAGCTGAACTTTTACAGGGTTGTCCATGAGATGATAAACTTTATTTTTTTTTTTTATTCAGTGATGCCTTGAAGACCTTTTTCCAAAAAAAAGTCACTCCCTAATAACTATATTGTTTATATAAGTTATTTGCTAGAAGGGATCTGAGAGTGCCAATGCTTCCATTCATTGTTTAGCAAACTGATCTGTGCAACAAAAAGTTAGACTAATCACTTACATGCAGTGGTTTTGAGAACTGGAGCAGTTTTAGGCTTAGCGAGTTGCTAATTCTTGGCTTTTGTGAGAATATGTGATATCAGTATTTTCAGGTTCCTTAGGCCCATATAGATAAAGGACTAATTGAAATGAGGTTTCATTGTGTTGCACCCTGGGAGATTTCATCTTTGATTTTGACTGTATTTCAGTTTGCCTTAAATAGCCAGATGATGGTGGATAGTTTGGGGCTATGGGGGATGCCTAAACCCAAGCTTTGGGCTCCATCCAACACCTGTGGACATTACGATAAGGTCTTCAGATGCTGGGTGCTCAATTTATTTTACAATATAAAAAAGTGAATCAAAAGAAATAAGACTCCTTTTATTGATTTTACAGTAGTTTTAGCTTTCCCAGCAGAGAAAACTGGTTTGAAGGCCTCATTGTTAGTCTGTGAAATATGTTAACTGAAGCACCAGTTGTGGGCACCCCTAGCCCTAAACAGATGCACAGAGGAAAGATAAATAATATGATGACCTTCTTGATAATAGTTGTAAGGGCCACCATTTATTAAGCTACAGCCATTTTCCAGCATGATTAAAGATTTCCATTTACAGCAATAAGAACAAGGGAGAAATTGTCTACCTGAAGCTCAGAGACTCTTGAGTAATGCAGTAGGCTTAATGACTGTCCAGTCCCCAAAACCACAGCTTTATTGCCTGTAAGTGACTGACGGATCTGCTTTAGGACATGGATAAAGAACATGAGAGTCATTTATTTTTCTAATGTTTAATCACATTTTAGATAAATCCTCAATATGCATCATGGCTTTCCTGCATATAGTAGACATTTTGGTGTGATTAATAATTTAATCTGGTGTGCCATTAAAAAGAGACAGAGTGTGATGTGACCCCAAAATCACACTTATGTTTAAAATTTGGGTAGGCACATTCCTGAATTTCCAGTAAGTTTCTGCTATGTATGGTATGCATAAAAAAGGCTTATTTATAAGGCTTGTTCACCCAAAACAGCTTAATTTTGTGCTTTGGCTGAACATTAGTTGGTTTAATTACTCACTGGCATTTCCAGCTCTGCCTCCCAGCACTTATTAAAGCCCGACTAAAGTCACATAAATAGATTTTCAGTCAGATAGCGATGATGATAATAACAGCATTCATTTTTTAGTCCTTCTTACACTTTTCTGTATAGCTGTTGTACAGTGTGGCTAAATGTACAGTCCAATAGGCACCAGAGATTGACCATGCTGCCTAGTACATTAGGTAACAGACCTGTAACAGACATGGTCAGAGAACACCCTCTCTTTTGCTCTACCCCACAGTTCTGCATGAGGACATTTTGCTGAGGGGAGTTGCTGTTACTTAGCTATGCCAAGCATAGAACACCGCAGTGGGAGGGCAGGAAGTGCATTTTATAATTTGTTTGGGTACAGGATGATACATAGATAAAAAATATGTGACTTCAACTGAGCTTTAAACTAAAAATAAGGCTTTCATAACCTGTCTGCTGGATTTTACCAATTGTAAAATAATCTTGTACAATCAAGCAAAAAGAGGGTGGTACCATGATGATGAGTTCCATGGTGGCATGGAGTCAGAAGCTAAAATGGTTAAACCTCACTTTCAGAGTTGTCATGAAATATATCAAGCTGGCCAGTTAGTCAACCCACCATGTCCATCTAGTACTGAAATAGTACTTTTAAGTGTTCTGACTCTTTCAATTTTGGGTTGCTTGCAGCGGGATTTGGCCTTCCTATAAGTTTTTGAATATCTGAAGGAGTTGCCCCCACCAAATTCCTAGATCTTTTCTCAAAAACCACTAATCAGATGTTATGGGCAGCATACTATTTTTTTCTTTTGCTATATTGTTTGTTCCAGAATTCTCAGGAGGGCATGTATCACTGAAGGCAGAGATATATGGAAGCCACTTGTGACTTTAGCTTTTATATTGAAAATCCCAAAGAGAACATTCCTTATTAAACTCATAACTGCTGAATCATGTCAGTGTGGATGTCAAGGGGAAGCAGTTTTTAGAAGGACCTTAGCTAACAAGAAGACTGATTCTTCCTAAGAAATATGAAGAGACATTTTTTCTTTGTGCAAACGTTTTTAATTTTCCATTGAGAGCTACAGTGTTAAACTCCAGGTTAAGTGAACTTTAAGTAGTTCATTTGGACCAAGCTGGTCCAAACGAACTACTTCCTTTACTAAGACATGCAGCCACTGTGTGTACTGTATAAATTGTATGTAGCATTAGCTACATAGAGTACATAGCACTGTGTTCCAGCAGCAAGATGAGAACTTCCTTTCCCACTTCTGGGACAAAATCATGAGTAGTGATGAGCCATTCACAGGAGGCTTTGTATTTTATGAATTAATACAAGGCTTCCTCTGATTGGCTGAGGTGGATGGGTGATGTCACAATCTCCATCTCAGCCATTCCAAGGAAACCATGTATTCATTAATAAAATTCAAAAGGCCTCCTTTGAATGGCTGAGCAGCTTGGGCCAAACAAACCTTTTAAAGTTAACTTAAACTTGGAGTTAGGCTTTAGTGCTGGTTCACACTGGAACGTGGTGCCGGAAAACCCATGTTCTGTGCGCGTTTCCTGCCCAAAATGTGCTATGTTTGCGTTCTGTAGTGTGTGTCAAGTTGTGTAAAGTTAATGACACCACAAACGCAGAGAGCAAATGCAGCCCATTTGTTTGCGCCGGAACGAAAGGTACCAAAGTACCATGTGATATGGTTGCAGTGCATTTTTAAAAGTAGTGCATGCAATACTTTTGGTATAATGCAGTGAAATTTCAGCTACTTAAAATGAATGGGCTGAAGGCACACTGCACTCAAATCGAACAGGAATCATACATGAAGTGTGTCCCTGAGTGATTCCTTTGTGAACCGGCCCTTAAAGCTGAACTCAAAGCAGAAAGAAAAACACCAATTAATGCAGGGCTGTATTGATTAAAAATCGTGACTTTTTCAGGTAGTGTAAGTACATGAATTTGTGTTGATGTCAGTAGGAGCACTAGGAATCAGTCATGATTTGCTGCAGTGTGCTTGTGTTATCACAGAATGTACTGCAGGAGAGAGCAGAGTGATGACTTATCAGTGTGCTGCTGCTCCTTCTTTAGTCATTTGGGACCCTGGTGGTGTACACTTGACTAAGACATGTTACTGCGGTGGAGATGAGGATCTGGTTATCTTGTCCGACATGGGTGAGTGGCTGGCCAAAACTAAAAATTCTTCGACAGGTTAAATAGTTCTTTTAAATGTATCTCAACTGTGCATATATCTACTTGCTTAGAGTTCAGCTGTAAAGCAGATCTTCCTGACATCCTAAAAACATTGCTGATGCAATGATAATTCTGCACAAGCAGATCGGTACGTAAAGCTTTAAAACTCAACTACAGGTAGATGTAAAAGACACAATTACTGCAGCTCTGTATTCAATAATGCATCTTTAAGTGTGTTTTATTTTAAATGCAAACAGTGTAAGTACCTGAATTTGACCTGGAATAAGCCCTTGGCAAACCCTTTTACAGCAGAGCTTAGACTGGGAGGGGCAGAAGGAGCCATAGGAGCCTCAAACTGGCCATAGATGGTTCGAAGCTTGGCTGGTTTAGCGAGGATCGGCCGAGATTCAAACCATTCATGGACAGGCTAATTGTACTCATTTTGATTTTTGCATGACTTGGGTACAATCAGTCTGTCGGATTTTTCATACGATTATTGCCAGCTGCTATAGCTGATAGCAAGTACCACTGTGTCCTCCCGGCAGGGACGGCTCCCCGCACCACCCCTCCACCCAGAGAACACAGTAGCTCCACTGGAGGGATTCCCCCCTCAACACTGACTGTTGATGGGGGAATCTAGAGATTTTCTTTGAGTTGCATTATTGATGGTCTTCTTAATACTTCTGGTTATCATTGTACCCAGAGAACACAGTAGCTCCACTGGAGGGAACCCCCCATCAACACTGACTGTTGATGGGGGAATCTAGAGATTTTCTTTGAGTTGCATTATTGATGGTCTTCTTAATACTTCCGGTTATCATTGTAGCAGTTGTGTTACAATGATAATGTGCTAGCAAGGAACATGCTAATAGAAGTAGATGGGCTCATCAATGCGCTGCCTCCTCATTTCACTGTCCCGTTACAGGCTAAGGGAGGGATAAGACCTATAGATATTACCAAACTGCTGCAGAACTGTCAGATAGGACTGTGCTGTTTGGCAGAGTTGTGTAAATCTGAAATCTGGATAGACAGAAATGTGAACCCTTTGCCAGGTAAAATAGCTCGTTCAAACTAAAGATTGAACACCAAAAATAAGTCAATATGGAAGGAAATTCCACACTGGGAACGACTCTACCTGATGAGAATGAGAACTTTCTTCTACACTGACTGATCATGACTGATCTGATTGAGCCTTTCAACAGAAAAAGACCATCCATTGCTCTTGTCTTAGGAATCTTTGCTAATTTAGACCTCGGTGAAGGACATTTTAATTTTAAGGTGTAATTTCGGCATTAAAGCGGTACACTGTAAGCAGCCATAATGCTGCACCTTTATGTGTCAGTGCAAGTTTGCTATAATGCTAAAACACGTATTTACTGTTACAAATTCAGTTCATCAGCGAGGAATTAGTAATCACTATTCCCGATGGACAGTCAGCTGAATACGTGTCATTCTATGCTGAATGATAAGGGTGTTAGGCTGCTTAGTAAAAATGGCATCTAGGATCAGGATAATCTGCTACGCTGTGCTGGTTCTCCTAATGTGCCGC